ACTCCTTTTCTTTGGGAAAGAAGGATTAAGAGGTTTGTTGTGAGTAGAGGAGAGGCAAGAAGAGGAGCTTCTGCAACCCACTCAATTCATCAGATGATGGCACTGATCACACTTCAGACCATCTATTGGTCAAGATAAAGGCAGGAATTATATCCAGTATGTTTGCAGATGCTCAATCCATGTATAAACCAGTGTTGGGTACTAAAAGAAGTCATTTACATAATTGAGAGAAAAAAAAAACAGTAATGACCATCAGATTTAAAGGGATAGTTCACTTTGAAATTAATTTTTGATATGTTTTAGCTTACCTCAAGGGCATCCAATATGTAGGGGTCTTTGTTTTCACAGTATTTTCAATGTTGATATTTTTCGGTCAAACCGTTGTTGTCTATCAGTCTAACACAGTCTCATCCCAAATCGTCATATAACTGACGTTTTGGGACGTATTTTGACCATACGTCAATATTCGCCTTTTTAGGGCCCCCTTAAACGTCGGTAGATGGCGATCCCGGGCCGTCATACAAGTGACGCTTTACCTTTAACGTCAGTTAGGTGACGGGTTAGGTTTAGGGTTAAGTTTAGGTATGGGGTAGAGTTAGGATCCCATAACCTCATCTACCGACGTATAAGGGGGCCCTAAAAAGGCGAATATTGACGTATGGTCAAAAGACGTCCCAAAACGTCAGTTATATGACGATTTGGGATGAGACCGGGTTGATCAGTCATATAATGCAGGTTTAGGGGGTCCACCTCGAAGAGAAGGTCAAAATTAAACACGATTTAATGACTCATAAATGTAAGTACACATTGATGGCTTAAGACACGAAACGAACGGTTTGTGTGAGAAAACGAACAGTATTTATATCGTTTTTACCTCGTGTAACCACAGCCATGTCCAACTGATCTGAAGGCACGGGCGCTTCGGTCCGCGCATGCGCCGGAAGTGATCGCTTGCGTGTGTACATCACTCATTGTTTACACAGAGATTTAGGAAGTTTTACCTTTAACTAAAAATATTTAGATATATCGAAATCGTCCTAAACATATTTAGATATACAGTAAATCACAATGGAAGACTATTTTGATATATCTAAATATGTTTAGTGAAAGGTAAAACTTCCGAAATCTCTGTGTAAACAATGAGTGACGTACACACGCAAGCGATCACTTCCGGCACATGCGTAGACCGAAGCGCCCGTGCCTTATATAAATACTGTTCGTTTTCTCACACAAACGTTTCGTGTCTTAGGCCATCATTGTGTACTTACATTTACAAGTCATTAAATCATGTTTAATTTGGACTTTCTTTGCATGCTCTTCGAGGTGGACCAAGGGTGGACCCCCTATACCTGCATTCTATGACTGATAGACCGAAAAATATCTAAATTGAAAATACTGTGGAAACAAAGACACCTATATCTTGGATGCCCTTGAGGTAAGCTAAAACACATCAAAAATTAATTCCAAAGTGAACTATGCCTTTAACTAAACATTTCACTACTACACATATGTATTTTCTTATAATATTGTAATGAGTAGAAATGTGCATTGATGCCAATGGAGTTAGACGGGAGAGAAAAGAAAGGTTTCTACAGAGTACAATTTCTAATTGACCTGAAATGTTCCTTCACTCTCACTCTTACCACTGGGTAGAAACAGATCTCATTTCATTAAGATTATACAAGCAATTTACAGAAGCCAGGTAGCTGTAATCAGCTGGATTGACAATTGTAAAAATGTTATTACAGTACAGCTGTACTCGCAGGAATTACATAATTACATCTTTTACTCCTCCAAAATATGGCAGTAATAACTGTGACAAAAATATGATATGTCCAAGCAATTCAGTATACCCTTGATAAAAACAGGACTATGAAAAATGACTTCTTTAATGGCCAAATAACAAAACAGACTGACATGTAAAACTTTGTGGGTTGCTCTTACTGATTTTGTATCTTTTTTCTTTTTTCAGAGCAATATCATAAAGTACATTTTGAAGTTTGTTGTAAATTAGTTTTCTTCCCACAGGTAAAAAAGACAGCAACCATGCATTCCACACCAATACCAAACCTCTTTCACAACCTAAAGTGTCCACTGGGTGATGAACGCTATGGACAACTGGGTGATGAACGCTATGGAGTCACAAAAATGAATCTAATTTAGAAACTAATTTAGTTTATACCATGGTCTGGGTGAATACTCGATTCTGATTGGCTGCAGGGTGTCCGTTAAAAAGTGATAGAGGACACCTAGTAAAGTAGTTCTGGTGAAACTGCCTGTTCACCATTCGAAATGAATAAATAAATGCGCTGCCTACAACGGCTGTGAGTAACCATAGCAACAGGCAGTCACATGCTCTATCATCTAACGTTAGATATTATAGCCTAATACAACAATGAGCGACTTCGTGCTATTTCTTTTAACATTTATGGAGAATATGGCAACTTTGACGACTGGTATGCTGCTGAAGAAAGAAAAAATGTAAATAAAACGGAGAAAATTACACCGCTGCTGCTCTGCTCCATTGAACTCTATTGGTAACGACGTAACTTGCGACCATAGTTGGATAACGATGCTTTCGGGAAACGCACCCCTGAATGAGACCCTGCGGGAGTTTTACGCAGCTGTCCAGACAACCAAGGCAGGAGAAGGCTGAACGTTACAGCGTTTCAAGCCTAAGGAGCCTGAGGCAAATGACCCTCTCTTTGATCTGATTAATTTATTGCCCTCTATAACGTTAAGCGCAAATCGCTGGAGATCAGAGCTAATTGTTTTTTTTGTTGTTGTTTGATCAATTGTTTTAGGTGTAATAAAAAAAACTATGCCTACCTTTGTGTTTCATGAAAAAAAAAAATGCATTTGTGAACCTGAAGGGATACGAGCTAAGCGGACTATAAATATCTCCGGTTGCTAGATAAACAGTCAGTCAAGTTATTATTTGTAAAAACTAGATTTAGCCTAATTAAAATATAAACTAATGTTTTAAAAATGTTTTATTTGGCAAGTGACCATGGTATAAGCGGGTTAATGCCCTCCGAGGTGTCCATTGTCAGGTTTTAATGGACTTCGGCGGAGGCAACCGTCCTCCGCTGCGCGTCGGCCGGTTTACGCCTCGCCGTCGTCCATTAAAACCTGACAATGGACACCTCGTCGGGCATTAACCCTTACGTAAATGCCTCCACTAAGGAAAAATAAACCAAGAGATATATTACAATAGAGATCAAATATGTAAAGCAGCTGTTTATTTTGTAAAAATTAACACTGCCTAACAATGACACTAGTGTTTCGCTCGTTGGGTTTTCAATAAAACCTAATTGTGTGTGAATATGAGGGGGGTAAGAGCAAACTACAGGTTAAAGGTCACATGTGACATCACTGTGATTACCCCGTCAATGGATACCCCGTCAATCTTGTTTCCACAAATCTGCCGGAATAGGTCAGAATGGTGGAAATGAATGGATTAACTGCAAATTAAACAGTTTAATCGGACCAGTTAAATCACCATTTATTGCATCTGCAGATGATTTGTTGACCAATGGTCCAAAAAGGTTATCTATAGGCCAGAAATGGTGGAAACATTAAACTTAACATGAAAATATATGATATGTATATATAAATTTACATTTGACTAAAAACTTAGAGAGAAACTCAACAACACACACATCAGAAAATGTGTGTAATCCAATAGATTGTGTTGCGATAAAGAGGTGGTACACGGCCTGGATACTGATGATGCATTATCCTGTTTTTGGCTGTCTTGCAAAGTTTTGAGCAAACAGAAATCCATCAGATTTGGCGGGGATACATGTCGCGTTAACAGACATCTGAACGAGGTTTATAAAGAAGCCAAATAAGGTGTGGGATTATCAGCAGACGACTTCATCTCAAAAATAAACATTTTAAGCAGAAACATGAAAGCAGAGAGACATGCTGACAGTGTTGGACAGTGTATGAAGTTCTGTGTGTGCCTGTGCTCGCATATAAACCCAATGTTTTCTGCCATAGTGTGCACTCATCCTGTGGCTACAAATAATCACGAGATTTCAGCAATATCTATCATGTCTCTTCATAACCTTGTGAAAAAGAAGTGAAATAAATAGTATTGAATGAGCAATGTGGTGTAATTCAAATCTTATACAGTGTGTATATTTTTTAAACTCTGTACTTTGTAGATAATAACCTTATATTAATAAAATAAAAATCCACTCAAGTGTACTTATAGTTCACATTCATGACTGTTTCATAACACACTTAAGTACACTTAGACGTCGAATTAAGTTTTATTTGAAATTACATTTTAAATCATTTTGATGTGTATTCTAACATATTTTACATTAATTTTAGCTGTATTGTGATGTTCAATTTTACATTTAATGTAAATATATTTGAAATTGACTAAATAGCAAATTAAAAATAAATACATGATAGGTTTTTTTTTGCATTGCAAAATATGACTTACTATTTTTGTTTACCATAAACATTTGTCAGAATACTTTCAAAGACAATTAAAGTAATAATGAAATTACATATAGCCTATGTAAAAAATATGATGTGTATTCTAACATATTTTACTTTAATTTTAGCTGTATTGTGATGTTCAATTTTACATTTAATGTAAATATATTTGAAATTGACTAAATAACAAATTAAAAATAAATACATGATGGTTTTGTTTTTGCATTGCAAAATATGACTCACTATTTTTGTTTACCATAAACGTTTGTCAGAATACTTTCAAAGACAATTAAAGTAATAATGAAATTACATATAGCCTACTTATGTAAAAAAGAATAATAATTTCAATTTAAAGATACATTTGCATTTAATTTCAAATACCATTCAATTAAGTGTCCGGAAACATTACATTCACTGTGCACTTAAGTGTCCTATTCTTTAAAAGTATGTTACGTCCTTATACATTACGTCAATTAATCTGCAGTATTTCAGGGCATAAACATAAAACATTGCAAAAAGAAGACCTTTTCTAGTTTAAATCTTACCTGGACAAGATTTCACTATGTGGAGCCTGGGCCCCTGCTCTTCTCCATTTACTCCATATCACAGAACCTTCAGTCCGACAGCAGCTCTTACCACTGCTGTGCTGACAAAACTCTGCCGCACTTCTCATTCCCTCCTTCGGTCTCCACGTCTGTGATCTAAAAGAGGTTCTCTGCATAAACCTCTGACATACCCAACTGGATGTGTACCCCTCACCTCGAACTTTATCTTGACATGCCTGAGATCATTTATCTTTCACCTAAGACTTCCTTTTTTAAAACTCTCTTCCACAGATCTCTTTCACATCATGAAGATGTTTTCCTTCGGGTGTTAACACACGATACCATCCTTCAGCAACTGACCAGCTGTCATTTGAACCATGCACATGTGTTATTTTGCATGCACCATATGTAGAGTCGGCAGTTGGTTAAAGAATAAAATAGAATTGATTTACATGCTATATGCTAATATATCACAAATACCCATTTTTCTTTTGTTGTTGTTTTCAAACAAGTCGCTACACAATGTCCTAGTGTTATTGTGTCGAATGGAGATGACGGTCGCCGCTTTAGCATCTGTATATTAGCTTAGCCCTCTGGCAAGAAACTAATCATAATACACCATAACATATTAAACAAGTTAATCCTAAACCTCAATTAAAAGTGTTCTCTTTTTAATCAATATATAATCAAACTATAAAACCACTGGTTAAAGAGCCTAGCTCAAGTACATATTACATCATACTTCAGAGTCAACCCTATTAATCCATATTTTAATGTTTTCCTCACCCATCATGTTATAGAAGTTTTATTTTGCAATCCACTTGACCTTTGAGTGGTTAGATTTTAGGACTTCCATCTCTGCAGAGAAAATGTCTGGCCCATCCACAGCTGTCAAGTTGTTAGGCACTCGACTCAATTCAAGAGAGTTTCAGGCCTTCCTAACAAAAACAGACAGATAAATCACTGAAATCTCCCAGATTCTCCACGTTGCACTGAGCTGTCATGTATCATGAGACTTCCCTCTGTGACCAGTGGCGGTTGCTCTTTATTTTCTGGCTATATTTTGAAATGTCTTGTTTCCCTGGTTCACGGTTTCAGCGATCTCGTTTTCTCTCAATAAGTTTAATACACTTCTCCTTGTCTGCTATTGAATATGTTTGTTAAAGTCAACAATATAGTTATATTTGTTTAATTGTCAATATTAGATCTTCATCTTTAAAAAAAATAAATAAATAATTAAAAAAAACACAGATTCATGACTTTCACACACTTATCGGAAACTGTCGTTGGGCCGATTGGGCCTTAAGTGCTTTAAGTTTTTTTTTTTTTTTTTTTTTTTTTTTTGCTAGGCCTACATTAGATCTATTTAAAAGTAGCATTCAAGTAAAAAAAAAATAGAGAAACTAAACAATCAATTGTAAAAAAATAAATAAATAAATAAAACTGCATCGTCTTCAAATTATTTAAATGATACACTCACCTAAAGGATTATTAGGAACACCATACTATTACTGTGTTTGACCACCTTCAGAACTACTTTAATTCTATGTGCCATTTCTTCAACAAGATGCTGAAAGCATTCTTTAGAAATGTTGGTCCATATTGATAGGATAGCATCTTGCAGTTGATAAAGATTTGTGGGATGCACATCCAGAGCATGGAGCTCCCGTTCCACCACATCCCAAAGATGCTCTATTGGGTTGAAATCTGGTGACTGTGGGGGCCATTTTTGTACAGTGAACTCATTGTCATGTTCAAAAAACCAATTTGAAATGATTCAAGCTTTGTGACATGGTGGTCTAAGGGGCCTAAATTGTGCCACGAAAACATCCCCCACACCATTACACCACCACCACCAGTCTGCACAGTGGTAACAAGGCATGATGGATCCATGTTCTCATTCTGTTTACGCCAAATTCTGACTCTACCATCTGAATGTCTCAACAGAAATCGAGACTCATCAAACCAGGCAACATTTTCCAGTCTTCAAATGTCCAATTTTGGTGAGCTTTTGCCAATTGTAACCTCTTTTTCCTATTTGTAGTGGAGATGAGTGGTACCCGGTGGGGTCTTCTGCTGTTGTAGCCCATCTGCCTCAAGGTTGTGCGTGTTGTGTCTTCACAAATGCTTTGCTGCATACCTTGGTTGTAACGAGTGGTTATTTCAGTCAAAGTTGCTCTTCTATCAGCTTGAATCAGTCGGCTCATTCTCCTCTGACCTCCGTCATCAACAAGGCATTTTCGCCCACAGGACTGCCGCATACAGGATGTTTTTCCCTCTTCACACTATTCTTTGTAAACCCTAGAAATGGTTGTGCGTGAAAATCCCAGTAACTGAGCAGATTGTGAAATACTCAGACCAGCCCGTCTGGCACCAACAACCATGCCACACTCAAAATTGCATAAATTACCTTTTCTTTTCCATTCTGACATTCAGTTTGGAGTTCAGGAGATTGTCTTGGCCAGGACCACACCCCTAAATGCATTGAAGCAACTGCCATGTAATTGGTTGATTAGATAATTGCATTAATGAGAATTTGAACAGGTGTTCCTAATAATCCTTTAGTTGAGTGTACATTGATTCATAAGTTATCAAGTCAAAAGGAGCAAGTGATTTTTTCTTTTGTTTGACAGACAGCAGCAGGCTTATTCACAACACAATGCATATTTGCTCTGGAAAAAGCGAGATGCGGGTGAAGATGAAATATGGAAAAAAGACAAGGTCTCGAGACGCATTTTTTAAAGGGGTCATGAACTGCATTGTTTTATTGTTTTCTAATGTTTCCTGTATGTTTATAGAATTTTGTGTCATGGGCAAAAGACACAAGATATGCAATAAGCAGAGAACGATAATTGAATTTGGGATCACATGCTGTCCGAGAGGCGCCTTTCTTTGAACAAGCTTTGGGTGTGTGTGTCAGACAGCAATGAGTTGTTTTCTGCAGCTTATTACTCTCAATAACCGTTTTAACGTCAAGAAAGTCACACATAAGTAACAGTCGCAAGCCCAGTCTGTTCTCTGCTATATGCGTCGACCTAAAACCTTTACATTTCACACCTTTTTAAAATTATTCAGATGTACATATCATGATATTTCGATGTATTGTGAAGCCCTAGTTCTTGACTTATAAAAATGTGTCATATTCCTGCAGCATTCTGTTAGTTTACATTTTCATTAAAAATATCGTATGTTTTCTGTGCTGGAAAAAGAAATCAAGACACACAAAGGTCTAAGGGTTTAGTTGATCATTAGAAGATACGAAATGTGATGCATCTGTCACTATATGACATCTATGTTAAATATTTTTACTTAAAATGTGTATCTATTTGTTCAAATTTTCTGGAAATTTCTGGAAAACATGGGAATTCATTCGGTTTCACCATCCCAATGCATTATGGGTATTATCCGGCCATTTAGCATACATCGGTTGTACACTCGTTATTGGGGTGAATTGTGGGATTGAATTGGAGCAATTGATAACGTCCAAGGTTTCAGACTCCACTACAAATGGCTGTCCCCTCAATAGTAGAGTATAGGGGGTGGTTTTGGACACAGCCAGTCAAATGTCTTTCTTGAAATACAGATTCAATAACTATAGCAAACAAAATTGTGGCAAATTTGCATTCCATTTTATCGGCCAGGATGCCTCCAATCTCATCCCATTGATTGAAACACTTGACTTCAATTAGTCTTAGGAGAAGTCATTAGCCCCAAGGTCCACATACTTTTTACACCTAATCTGTGAAATTCAACAATGTAGCCTTTTTCATTGTTGACAAGAGGAACAATTGTTTATGTGTCAATAGTTGTTTGTTTATTGACAGATGATCAGATGATGATGATGATATTATGCCCATTATACAATATAGAACTGAAATGATACAATAAATAATACATATTGCTCTCAAAGAAAAAAAAAATCTGACTCAGGTTAACAAGTGAAACAAGACAACGTTACAGTGGTAGGCTGGAAAATGTATTATAAGAATATGACTTATTAATTTGCACAATGATTCAGGCATTAGTTCATGCATGGGGGAGCAAAGATTAATGTGAGTTTAATTACAACACTTCTTTGTTATTAAAGCCTAATCAGTGAGCACGCTCATTTTTAACTCTTACCTTAAAGTGTGGACTGAAATTTATACCACTGGAAATTTCCTTGTAAAATAATTTCCTTTTCCTCTCAGATGAAACAATACATATTCAGATCTACCTGCAATTACCCATCTCATCCATCAAGAGAGGAGGGGAGTGAAGCAAAGAAAGATTCACAGATGCAAAAGAGAGAATATAGAGTTGATGGTAAGAGATGGGAATGAGAGGACTAGAAATGTTGATGGAAGAGAAGGCAAATAGAGGAGTTATAAGGCATCAGAAGAAATACCAGAACAAAGAATAGTTTGTCAATCATTTTCAATTAAGTTTGCAAATTTCAAGTCTGGAAGCAATATCCTGTGTGCAGTTTCCTTAAATTGTGTAAGTGTAATATCTTACTACATGATCATTGTCAATCTTTTTATTTGGCTGTCTCTATATCTACATAGTCCATGACTCTACAACTGATTTGTTTTCTCACAGGAAACATAAGACTGTCAGATAGGTTATCAATCTCTTTTAGGAGAACGGTTGATATGCATCTCATCATTCCTGAGTTCATCCCACACATACACTCAGAATCCATATAGGGCTGGGTGGTATGGCAATACATAGCATAGCAAAAATGTAAAAGTGTCTATTGATAGAGATTTGGCTATATTAAACAGTGGAGCGATAAAGAAACATGCATTTTACACATGAAGTGTGTACACAGAAAGCAAGCGAGTATTCACATAAACATTGTTGGTCATATCTTAAATTCCCCCTGTGGTTAAATGTTGCTGTTTGAGCATAAAACAACAGTATCAAAGTTACTAACGCTCAAAGTTCAAAGCAAAGGAATATATTTGCTTTTAAAGTAAAGGACTACACAACATTCCTCCAGGGTTAGTGACATCAGCAACCCAAAAATGTACATAAACCAAGCTTTATGTAGCCTACATTTATGTACATTTTACCAAGCTTTATGTACATGCTTTCATTGCGTGCTCCCTGGGAACACGCCATGTTGAGAAGAGGAAAAGTTGTTGTATAAGAGTACATCTGTGAGTCAGCTCAATCTTTAGCATCCATTTTTTCACATACAATAGAAAGTCACTCGGTGGGCATCTCACAACAGTT